TTTTTTGTCCCAGTCCAGCCCTGATGATATGGGTCACCTGAAAAATGCTGGAAAATGTCACTGGGATGTTTCAGACTTTTTTCCCCCGTCTGGATAGGTTAGTTAGGTTTAGTTTCAAAGTTTTCCCTTTTTAAACAAAAATGTTAAGTTGCTTGGTCCTGTGCTTTCACATATGTGAGCTCAGCTGACATGAAGCAGTGGGTGTCTCTGTCTCCAGCAATAGCAGCACCTCGAGGTAAAGGGGTGACCAGGTTCAGGAGTGGGTTGCCATGTCCTTTATCAAGGAAAATGACATTTCCATGTAGTCTCAAAAGCCTCTGTTTGGAAATAACAGCTTTTAAAAGCCATGAATGTGAATTCAAAATTCTAAAAATATTTTTCTAGGACAGCAGGAAATAAATAATTGAATATATTTTCACACTAGTGTTTTACATCAACTGTGACTTCTTTTTAGATTTTATTTAATCATCAGTTATGGTCATAAACACATATTTTAACATAGATCTTACAAGTATGTTTACTTTCAATCCTGGATTGAATAACAGTTTATCATCATACATCAATTCACTTGGTACAGCTAAGGTTGTCATTTTAAAAGCACATGAGCGGTAGTCATATTTATCGTATTGCAGGTTATTATTAGCACTGATGGCACACTGCACTGACGCCTCTGCAGCGGTACATACAGCACCAACACAGGTGTGTAACTTAACATCAAAACCAAACAAAGCTGGACCAGGAGTTTTTTTCTATGCCCCTTACTACATGTAACTCATGGATGGAGCGGTGTTTTGTCTACGCATAAAAGACAACTCAGCAAATAACTGTAATAATTGTATCTTCATCAGTCTGTCACAAAAACACATAATTTGTTCCAGTTTCTTTAGCTGAATCTGTGAAAAATGTCCAAAGTTTTCATGAAGCTTTGAAACTCTGATCAAAATGTCCCAACAGTGACATCTGCGGTCTGGATGGGGTAGGGAAGTATGAGGGCAGAGAGGAGGAAAGCAGTCCTGAGGAACTGTTAAACCATGAGAAAAATGGATTTTCTCATGGTTAAAGATGCAATGAGTGATGTGGCAATGGCTCCGACGTCTCTTATTGCATCTTTCAAGATTGCAAAACATGTGCAACTCTCCCACAGAGAGGAATAACTCATAACACACTCGATGTTTGAATTATCTCTGGTAAAGCACTCGGGGTTGCAAACATGGTTAAACGTAATTATTCATAAGTATACTGACTATCTATCAATTTACCCAAATGACCAAAGTTACATATATACCACAAGCTATTAAAAGCATGCATCATTCCCCTTCACAGCCTATGGCCCAGCATGTTAAAGAAATCTTATAAGCCATTGTTTTACTGGTCAAGTTACATCTTTAATAAGAAATCTTTGCTGATCAGCCAAATAATATAAAATGTCATGATGCCAAAGTTGGTTTCTTCCTTCTTTTCTGAATCATCAGCTGCCGTTTGTATGCATCTGTGACCGAAGGACGGCTATGAGATGGTAATATAAATATAGCGTTTTTGATTTAACATTGTGAAACTTGCATGTGTTTCCATGGTAATCTGCTGGGATGTGTGCCATAAAGACAGATCTCTTAAGACAATTCAAGAATTTTCAGTTCGTTGTCCTCAAGAGTTATAATCCTCGTTCAGACATTTAAAAAAGTTAATTTTTACCTTTCACCTTATGCTCGAGGAGGACAAAGAAACAACGAGCATTGTGTTGCTGAGAAACATGCAGATCATCCACCGTACACCTGAAAGTCTAATAAAGCTTAAATGCTCAGAAAATAATTTTTTTTGTTCCTCTTTGAAGGCTTTGGGAGTAAGACTAGAAAACTCACAAAACTCATACTGATTTGTTGATTTGTTTATATAACCTAAAGCTACTGTGGGTACTTTATACTTCTTTTTGTTTCAAAAAGTGTAGACAGTGATTATGAAAAGTAAAATGAGGAAGATAGAGTTCCAAGCCAAGATGCTCCTCATATTTCCAGAAATATATGAAAATATATGACAAACAAGATGTAAAAAAAAAAAGAAATTGAAGATTATAAATCTTCTTGCACTGGGCTGGACTCCCCTTTTTAGTTGTATTTAAAGTATAATTCATATAAATAATATTTAATAAATATCACTGAGACTCTTAGAGGACGATGTTTCTCTTGGAACCCAAGGACAGATCCAGTCACATCACTGCTGTGCTGTCAGACACAGACGTATGTGTGGCCGACTGAGATTTCTTTTTTATTTATTTTATCCCACTTCAGACAACAACTGTTATTTTTAAACACAGAAAATAAGAACCTGTCCTACTTGAAAGCTGAGTCCTCTGTTTGGTGTCAGTGAAATCAATAAAACACTGAACCTACCCACACTTTTCTTCTGCAAGGTGTAATCTGATTGACTGCAGGGCTGCTTCTTTCCACAGCTGGTTTCTATTACATTCTTCTGAAGCAGCAGACATGACATATCACAAACTAGTTCTATCTGGTTAATTAAAAACTTTGTGGGAAGATACACATATCTAATGATAAAGTCAGAAAAAAATGTTTATATTGGTGGCAGCAGTAGTAGACAGGCTCATTTTGTCATTCAGCAAAGCAATTAGAGAAAACCTCTAACGCACTGGGATTTATGGGTAGTTGGAAACTTCTCACTGATCTGACCTAAAATGATAAATTTTCAGTGGCTTTAAGATTAACAAAGACAAAATTTCTTTGAATTTAGCATTTTTTAACACTGCCCTTTTAACAACAAGTTAGAGTCAGGAGCTGTGGTTCAATCTGATTTGAACTGTAATATAAAGGTAAGTAATTAATTTTATATTAATAAACATACTATACAAGTACGAGTTCTGTTATTAACTTAAGCAAAGAGACATCACTGAAAGGTGTTGATATAAAAAAAGGTCTAATGTACGACTTATCCAAGGTGATCTAATGGAAGCGGACGAGCTTCCTGTTTTCTTTAGCCTTTTAAAAATGACCAAAATTTTAAATTTGATTCCTTTATACTGTTAATTGCTAATTGCATGCTGTAATTTTTACATCAGTTAATTTTTGTATCATTTAACTGCTTTTTATATAGCCTCTGAAATAATTTGAATTAATGCTGAGAGACATTGTATTTGTTTAAGCTCTTATGTATGATACCATAACCGCTGCTGTTTCATCTCATTGTTCAGCTTTTTTGGAAAAATGATACTGGTTTAAGGTTAGTGCAATCATCTTGGACATTTTTTGTCTGTGTTGGAGAGTGTCTCACAGACCACTGACCTGATTTTCATTTGTGGCTCAAATGTTGGGGAATAAAGTATGTCACCATTACGTGCAGTCACACTGGGCTCACCCTATTCTGGTCATCTTAATGTGTGCTGCAGGGTTTTTGAGCCTCGTGATTATAAAATCATATAAAGTAAATGTCATAAAAGTAAAAAGAAGAAAAAAGAAAGAAAACTCAGAAAAGTGTCACTGTGCTACAGTCAGTATATGAGCTCACTGTGGTCCCTTATTCATTTAGCAATATAATACTTATAATTTCACACATTCGAGGAGGGAATTGGAATTGAAACCCTCAATAACAATCAACATTTTTACTTTGTTCTTTGCTTTTTTAAGGTCAGTAAACACAGATGAGTGGGAATGCAATCCACCATGAAGAGGTTAGCATGATTATTTGATTATAGTATTGCTAAAAACTGATTCAAATATAGAAAAAAAACACAAATCACAAAAAAGTCATGCTTCTTCATCAAATTACTGCTCAGAAATAATGAAAATTTTCCATTTTGAAGACTAGACAATCAAAAAGTAAGTGAGGATCAAGTAGGTGAGGGAAGGACTGGATGCAAAGTCAAGCTTTGGGAAGCACATGTAATCAAAAACATCTCCATCATTGCTACTTTCAGTAGATCAAAGGTGGTGTGGTGTTATTGGTAGCGTTCATTGTGTTTGTAGATTGGCTGCTTCATCAGTGTTAATTTTGACAGCAAACTTTCTTAAAACTTTTTTAGTTTTAGTCATAGTTTAGGCATCAAATTCTAATTGACTAAATACCATCTTTTTTTACTGAGAGAACTTCAAGAGACAATCCAGCAGTTCGCACTGTTTTATAATTAGGCAGTTAAAAGTTCAGGTTGCATGTCATGGTTCTGGGTGTTTGACCCAACTTTTGAGTTTATTGTGTTTTTTCCAAGTGTTTTTGTGTTATTATGATGATTTAGGTTTCACTAGTCAGTCCTGAGTTTTTCTTGCTGTTTTCAGAGTTTTCTTGTGTTCCGTGTTTCCCCTCCTTGTGTCTCCTCCCGTTGTCCCCTCAGCCTGTCTAGTCCCAATGGATTAGTCTGTGTCTTAGTATTTCCTGTTTTATTTTGACAGTCTCCTGTCCTGTGTTCAGTTTTGCTTCCTCTTGTGTCATTAGGTCTGTTCATCACAGCTATGTTCCCCATGTGTTTCCACTTCCCTCGTCACCCCATGTGCATTTATTGTGTGAGTTTTCTTTCGTTCATTGTCAGGTTGTTTGTTAGTCTTCCCCATCTATTGTTTTTTTTCCCTTGTTACCTGTGTGTTGCTCTGAGTTTAGTTTCTCCCAGTTTAGATCAGTTATTGGCTTTTGGTTTTGAGTTTCTGTTGTAGTGTTAGATCTGAATTCTTGAATTGGATTTAGTTTTAGTTCCTTCATTGAGGTTGTTATCTGTGTCATGTTCCTCTTGGTTCCTTCTTCTGTCTCAACTGCTTGTGCTTACACAAATGCTCCCTTGTCTGTCTTTATGTTCTTTTTGATTATTTCCTGTTTTACTCGATTTAACCTGTGTCCTCTGATTCCCATGCACTGTTGTTCTGCTAAAAACTCCACTCTATGACTCAAAATTGATATCTAACACAAATAAAATAAAAAATTAAAACAGAAAAAACAAAAGGTATAACATTTCTTCTTTTTTCTGTCTACAGTGGTAGCAGCAGCTGTGGGGATATCGGGCCAGACTCACGTATTTCTGGATAAAACCCAGACAAGAGTGATTGCTCCATCTGGGTCATCTCTGACTTTGCACTGCTGCTTGAGCACAAAGAAATATGAGAGATATCGAGTGTCTTGGTATTTTAGCTCACATGGACCTTCATTCAGCAACTCAGGGAATCTGTGCAGTAAAATAATTAACAAGTTTGCAAACAGTTCCACTGAAGGCAGTGAAAATACACACATTTTATCTGTTGTTAATGAAACATGCAGTGGATGGTACTTTTGCAAAATCACAGGAGAGGTTCCCAGTTTAACAGAAATTCGGAGCAATGGAAAAGAAGTACTGGTTTGTAAGTATTCTTGTAGTGACATTTTACTTTAACTAGCATGTGTGAGCAATGCGCAGAAATGTAATAACTGGTTTAGTTATACATTTTGATACTAATTCATATGCTTTACCCACTGATACTTCAATTAAACTGGCTTACAAAGATTAAATGAATGCTCATCAGAAACTAGTATTTTGCCCACAGCAAACATCTTTCAAAGAAGAAGAAGAAGAAAAGGAGCTAAGCCCTGTTCAGGCCGTTCGTGCAGCGTGCCCAAAAAGAAGCGTAAATTTTTTTTTGTCGAGCCGTTACAACAGACAACAATCTTGTGGATCAACAGAAGAGCAATGTAAGACTAAGTATCTCTTGTATGTGTATATTTATGTATTTAACTTGTATTTATATTAAACTTATACAATTAGCAGATGCACACTTAGGTTTGTAAGATGCATCTCCTTTCCGCAAGTAACGACAGGAGTGCCAAAGCAGCCAAACATTTGTATCGGTACTTTATTGTTACATGGTTATGTCATAGGTTAGGGTATATTATAATAATTTGAGTTCTGCTATACAGATAAATTTAACTTGCAGTTAGACATAGTAATGAGCAGAATAGCAAATTACCTTTTACAGGGAGTGGATTAGTAAAGTAAAGAGTTAGTAAAATTTCACTCTTTTTGTGTAGCAAGTCTAATAGTGAAGAGCCTTTTTTGTGATGTGTATTTGACTTTTCAGCTGTGTGGACAATGGCCAAAAGAAGAGCCTAAACACGTCGATTCAGCTGCAACAGGCCCCAGGTAGCCTATCTAAATACTAATTTACATTACCTTTGTTTCTTTCATTTATAGTGTTCATTACATGTTTGCATTACCCAAAACCAGTAAGCACATCATGCATAAATATTGTTTAAATCTATTGTCTCTCATTTCCTTTTAATCCCCACAGTGGTCACGCATATGTCCTTCAAACGAACTTATATAACTTAATGCCATCATAATACTGTTTGTTGTGCCACGTCTACCTTTCACTATTCACTGCACACAAGATGTTCAAAATCAAATTTTAACCTTGATGTTTTCAGTGATCATCAAGGATCGCAGTTCAGCACGCCAGTGAATACTAACTGCCTCCAACCGACACTTTGCTCCTGATAATGTGTACATCTAATTATTAAAAAACATTCTGATTAGGTCGACAGCTCATCAGGAAAGGACAGAAAAACAATAAACAAATCCAATTTACTTCATATACTCAAAGGCTGTCAATGACAAAAAGGAGTAAAACAGAAGCTAAGGACATAAAGGATGCTGTGGCCATTGGGTTTTATCATTTCTATTTTTTCTGAATTTTTACCTTCAAATCTTAATATTAATTCAATCTTTTTTATTATATATACATTTTTGTTGTACAATCATTGCAAATTAGAGAATTTTTTAAATCATGAAAGTTTTTTTTCTACAAGAATAAACAGAAATTATTGAAAGTGTCTCTCTTCATCTTTGTGTTTTAAACAATGCAAAATGTCCTGTAATCTTATCATCATGTGCTTATGATTTTTCTAACAAATGACTGAATTTTATGCATTACCAATGTGAAATCACAGCCTAATCTTAATGCAGATGTTTGCACACATACAGTACTGTACATGCAAAAGATGCTTGAAGTGGGGAAACACTTCAAGACATTTTCTCTGTGGGAGGATTGTTCACCTATTTCCAATCCTGATTATGACCGCCACCTCTCAGGCCGCCCATACGTCTGTAAAGTCAGTTATGATCTGGGTGTCTGGTTTATGATTATATCAGGCTGCAGTGACTTGACAAAAACTTTTTTTTATGAGTCAGACGTGAATAATAAATTAGACCAAATATAAAATGTAATGAATTATGTGACATAAAAAATGGATTTTCTTTCAGTAACCTCAAAGAAATTTGTTCATCGTGCATTTTTTTAACCATCATACCTTCTTTTTTGTTTTTTGCTTTCTTACACTCAATCTCAACATGTTCAGTGCTGAATTAAATTAAAACAAATGAAATTGAGACCATAACGCTGCACGGGTCTGAGATTCTGCTCTGTATTAAACTGTCTGCAAACAGCATCTCTGAGTGCTCTCGTTATTGGTGATAGATTCAAATAAAAATTGAGGCAGACCCCTGTGGTGCTCACGTCTTTTCTGCAGTACAAAAGAATAAATAAAGACAAATATTATAGCATACAATAGTAATTATTTTTGTCTTCTGTTATGTACAATCTGTTGGAAATAGTTATTCAGCAAATAGAAAAACACCAGTCGGCCAAAAGATATAATAGAGATATTCAAAATGTGTTATTTGAGAATTGTTTAGAGGAAAAATGTTTTTTGACATAACTGTGACTTCATACTGTGGAGGTTAAATTCAAAAACTCATCACTGCAGTCAGATGATTTTATTAATGCCCCATTAGTAGGTGTGCACAAAGTCCCCCTTCATATAGTTTTAAATGTATGCCTGTAGATTAATGAGCTTTTCCTGGTTCTAATTATAGCACAGCAACACCATAGCAACAGCATGGCCACAACGTCCTCATATTTCTTGGCCTCCTCATTCATTTCTAAATGCTGTCTTATGGGATTTTAAAGTGAGGATATTACTTTGATGCATGCACTGATTTTATCAATCTAAAACCCTTAATTAGATATCTTATAAAAGTATTTCAAAACTTTGTGGATTCTCTGCCTTGAAGGCACACTTGAAATCCTGTTTGATGCAGATAAACAGGCAGCTCACATGGTTGAGGTTTTGATTAAAAGTCCCAAAGTCACTTGTCTCAACTGAGGTTTTAAAACAGCCCTGTCGTGTGGTTTTTTTCCATCTGAATTAATAAAAGAATGACAAGTGTGTTTGAGGGGTTTTTGTAAAAAAAATGTAAGACTAGAGAGCTGCAGTGTTGACATCACACCCCGAATAACCTCTCACAATATTTTTTTTCCATAAAAGAGACAAACATCTTTACTTCTGAGAACATCGTGAATTTGCAACAACTGTTATTGCAAATCAGAACCTTGGTTATTTTCCACAAATTAAGGCAATGATTACTTTGTCCCAAGTGTCAAAAGTAGCAGTGCTTTGGTCTCTACTGGTTTTTGCATCACTTTTACATCATTCAGCCCTCCTCTCAATTTAGGCATGCAGTCCAAAGAATAAACCACAATTTTATTATTTAAATAAAATCCATTCTTATCTTAACACATGAAATAAACAACATAACATAAATACTCCATACAAAGGCTGTCCTTTTAATACTAGCTGACTTCAAACCTGTAGGTTCTGACTTCTCTTTCAATACTGACCAGAAGGAAGGAGCAGGATTACTTATTTATTTATTTACATTTAACATGAGATGAGATTAATTCCACTACTAGGATAAGGATGCTTGGCTGAAAAGCATCAGGATAAGACCTGCATATAACTGGTCTGCACTTATAAAGCGCCTTTTGGACCTTTGCAGTAATACAAAGCATTTTAGATTATGTTTCACATCCAACCACATCTACACACTTACACGACAATGCCACGCATGATGCTTGCTTTCTGTCAGAAGTACCTCCTGAGAGTTCTCCTGATGGCAGGAGAAAGGCACCAGCAGCCCTGTGATTAGTGGACAACCTGGTCCACTGCCTGAGTTGTGGCTACGTTGTGAAAGTTTCTTGTAGTCAGCTGATCCTTCAAAATCAGTTTCTGAACTTATTCTACATGTTTAGATTTGTCTTTAAAAAAAAAAAAAAGAATTGCTCAACAATTGTCAATTGCTCGACTACCTAAAAGGGATAAGCAACTGTCTGTTTTTCCAAGTCATAGATTAACCTTTAATCAATTATGCCAATTTTCAGTTAATATACTGACTATTGTTTGTGATGATTTGTGTGTTTTTAATATTTTCAATATTTTATCTCTCATATTTTTCTTTTGAAAGAGTTTAAATGCATTTTTGTATTTCAGTTCCTCCTGCTGTTGCTTCTAATTCATCTCACGTGCCAGACTGTCTTTATCCTCAAAGCAGTGGAGCATCTCCACACTCCTTGTGTCATTCCTCTTTGTTTCACGTGTCTGATCTCTGCCCCTGTTTTTTTATGCGTCGTTAGTCTTTACGCATTGTTTGGTTCTTTGGATCTCTGGATGGTTCATGGACTCTGTCGTTTTTCCTGCTCCTTATCTACATTTTTGTGCCTGACCTACCTCTGCTTTGTTTAGAAACACTTGGATTTTGAACCTCGCGCCGTGTCTGATCCCTGCATGTGAGACTGCTCTCGCTCTCTTTAACTCTGCTCCTCCTACGTGTGCCTGTGGTGATTTATCAGGATTCATGAGCTGAATGACAGCGAATCTTGTTGAGCCTTTTTTGTGAAAGAAAATCATTTAGTCCTAATTGGTGACATTAGGTTTATTAAATAAAAATAAATAACTACAGTGAGTTGTTATATGGTGTTAATGACATATTAGTATAAAGTGCAATTAACTGCAGTGTTTTTATAAAATCAGTTACTGAGGCCATTTTTGAAACCTGTCAAATACAGACATGGTGCATTCATGGTTGTGTCATAAATTACATACACAGCAAGTAATAAAAGTGGTTTTCAAATGAATTATTCAGAAAGAAGGGGCCCACAGACAAATCGCTGTCTCAGAAACTCCATAAGTTAAACTTTGCACAGCTCAGAAAGAAAGTCGGTTGGCTTGTGGCTGTATATGAGCCCAGTCTAATCTCTAAACTCCTACGCTCATGCTCAACCCCATATCCCCTCAACTCATCTAAAATAAACCCTTTAGCTGTTCCAGGGAGATGTTGCATGCTTGAGGTCGTAGCCCTTTAATCTCAGAAGACTCTCCCACACTGTATCCGACCTGCTCTCATCACTGACGCTTTAAAAATTGTTTTCATATCCCTTTATACCTTTATGCCTCTGTGTGCATGGCAGGGCTATAAGTGCACCACACTTAGAAAATGTGTTGTGCTTTTGTTGTTGGTCTGGTCTATTGATTGTTTTTCTTCTTACACATAAAAAACTTGGATTCACAGAAAAAGTTCATCTTAACCCAGTTAAGATCGCCTCAATGTAGATATTCTCATGTGTTGTTACTTCCTTGCTTTGCGTCCCTTGGGATGAAACTAAGTATATTTTAAACAAAAAAGAATAAATCGAACAGGGATTGGCTGTATGCTTGTTAAAAATATTTTAAGGTACACTGAGGAAAACTGAGAGTACTTTTATGGCACATAAACAAGTCGGGGTGAAATTAAATGTGTGCGTGTTTGAAAAAGCACTCACTGAATAGAAACACAGCATGATTCCTGTATTAGTTAAATTAAAAATAATGGTAGTCAAGAAGGAGAAAAAGATGATACATACTTGTAAACAGACCACTCACTAATTAATGGCATCAAAGCAACCAACGTTTTAAATAACTTCCACAGAGAAAGCTACACCGGGGAAGTGATCTACGCACATACAGTCAGAAGTCTTTGTTTTTTAGAGCTTCAGCATTTTGTCTATAAAAAGGTGTAGTAATTACTGATGTGTGTGGTAGGAGCATGACATCAGTTATATTTCCAATCATTTGTTTTGTTTAATTACCAGAATACAATATAATTTACTGCATCTGACACAAGCAGACGTGAAACATCTGGAGAAGCTGTGGAAAGTGCTACTCTACCTGTAACATCATTCAGCATGACCAGTTTGGTGGTGGGTCGGTGATGGTCTTTGGAGGGATATCCACAGACCTCTGCAGGCTAGGCAACGGCACCCTGATATCCATTAGGTATCAAGATTAAAACCTTGGACCCATAGTCAGATGCTACGCCTGTGCAGTAGGTCTTGATTCCTGGTGCATGACAATGCCCGGCCTCATGTGGTTAGAGTACACAGGCAGTTCCTGGAGGATGGAGGAACTGATACCATTGACTGGCCCCAACACTTGACCTAAATTCTATATGACATCTCTGGGACATCATGTCTCAGTCCATAAGACGCCACCAGGTTGCACCTCAATCTCTCAAAAATGTGGTTCAGTGATGTCCAGCTCCAAAACGGGGAGGCAATCACCCAGGACACCATCCGTCATCTCATTATGAGCGGCCCCTGATGTTGTCAGGCATGTTGGAATCATACAAACTACTGAGTTGCTGCAATAAAATCAGTAAAATGTACAAGCCTGCAACATTTTTTTACTTTGATTTTCAGGGTTTCTTTGAATTCAAACCTCTGTAGGTTTATAATTTCCATTTCCATCAAACGATGTGGAATCCTCTCATTCCTAGCACGTTAGTCAATCAGCATATCAGTATAGATTTTTTCCCACTGAGTGTTCTATATATATATATATATATATACATATATATATATATTCATTCAATAAAAATATTATTTTTTTATACAGGATGGGGGGTGAAAAGGGTCACACATTAAAAAGATTTCGTTGTTAATTTTTCAGCCTCAGACCGCCGTGCAGCTTCATGTCCATGCAATTAAGTCCAGTTGATATTTGCAGTACAAAGTGACCTTCTCTACAAAGAGCTGAGAAGATCTGAAATCCCACATCCGACTCTGATTTTCATGCACTTTCACAGCAGTGGAATTCAAAGGTGGGCTTTCAGAAAGCTTATACTGTAATTTACATACTGGCTGTGGACAACGCCTTGACACTGGTGGTAATAGTTCAGCACCCTACAATATTACTTCAATATTCTGTTAAGATGTCGCAAGCATAATCCCATCTTGGACTTTTATGCACCTTCAAATTTAATAATATCTTAATAAATCTGTCAGTTGTTTGCCCATCCAGACAGTTTCAGGTGTTGGGGATTCGAGTTAGTGGATGCTGAATCTCTAAAGCTGCTTTGTTTTACCTCTGTTTCCTTTACAGTGTGTGCTGCCTGCTTCACTCAGTCTGTAAGGATCAAGTTGATTACTAACTGTACTTCCTCCAGTGGCCACTTGAAGTTGGCTATATGAATCAGCAGACTCCAAAATAAAAATCCCAACTTTACAGCATTTAAAAG